TTCACGTTAGAACGAGAATCGCAATTATTATTAAAATATGCTGGCCAGCTACATAAATTTTATATGCCGGGTATCTGTGAAACTCGCTTTATATGCTACAATAACAGGAAACTAATGCATATTTCAACAAGTTTTTCCTCGAATTTACGTATACGCGGGACTTGGGGCTTTAAAATTCATCGCTAATCTCCCACCGGCAATCGCACAACTGGATAGTTCTATTTTTAGGGATGACTGCGATTATCGCTATGATTTCAATGGGTAATTTCAGTCTTTTCGCGGCTACAGACGCCAGGTAAACACACCTCTTCGCGAATCGTACGAACGGCGTTATTTATCACAGGGGCGCGCCGAAACTCACGGGAATTACGTCGAATCCAGTTCCCCGATTAACGCAGCGGGTGTGCGGCATGTAACGAAACTGATGCGCCATTCGTGCGCGAATGCGCGCGCGAGCGCGCTCGCTGAACGGATCGAGGAAACTTTATGCGGACATTTCTTTCGTTACATCCCGCGCAATTATCATTCCCGACATGGCTTGTTGTTACGCTAATGAGATACGTCTCGTCGTCAACTCGGATATTGTATTATCCGCGGCACATCATGCCGGGGAAGGCGCGCGCGGCACGAAGTAGTAACAAAGAATTCGCCGTGAAATCCAAATGATCTCCGAATGCTCATCATCTCGCTCCTTCCCCCGCGCTCGCTTTAATCGAGAAACGGCATGGTTAAACTACGTCAGATAGCGGCGACGGGAAGAGACGGGACGGGACCAGGCGGGAGACGAAGCGTAGCGAAGTACGGCGAGGGAGGAAGGAAGGAAGGAAAGAGGTCGTTCGGTGCGCGCGGAGACAGCACGATAGTCCCTAAAGTATATTTGCATTTGCATTCGGTAATTAAACTCCCTCCGTTTCCACGATACTAGGACTCCCTCCAGCTCGTTCTTATCGGAGTTTGTCGAAGAAGAGCAATTGGTCGGCTTGAGGAATTCCAAATGGCTTTCACGTGCCCGCGAGGCACGTGACCAAGTTATAACGGCCGGAAGTCGGCGAGATACAAAACTGTCTAGCGATCCGCGGTGATTAATCGTTTCGTTTAGTCA